ACTAAATTTGCTAGACTGTGAACTGATATCAATCTTATAATTAATGAAATTTATCACAAAGTTCAAGAAACTATTAATAAAGAACATATTGTGAGTCTGATCAAAGAATATGATGATACATTTAAAAGTTTCTTTGGTTGGTTAAGCTGTTTAATGCCTTCTAACTCTATTTATAATATTATTGGATATGTAGTCTTTACAGCTTTTATAACACTTGTTAGGATAGTTTCATTGCATATTACCTGTGCATGCTATGCCCAGTACAGCAAGAAGAAGAAAAAAATTAAAGACCCAGATTGTGATAGTCTACTCCAGACTTTGAGGACTGACTTTCCTTTGCCTAGAGACAATTAGCTATTGAATCAGTGAGACACATCCTTTCTCCCAACACCCCAGGACTCTACTGCCTGTAACAATGATGACCAATTGAGTACTCCCAGGAATGAGCCTTTCTAGCACTGTGGGGACTTGACTACTGATAATAAGCCATTTGGACCTTTCAAATCTGTGACCTACACCTGCATTAAAAGGAATGGTATTTGGCTAACAGGGGGAACTAAGGACAGAAGACTGACTGTTTTTCCTATTCCCAAAATCCCTTCTATAGCATCTGGGGTGAGTCATGCCCTCAGACATTACCAGATCATTTTGGCCCATTTGATAATAGGACTCATCCTGTACCCTGTCCCTGGCATAGTACCTTTGTGATGAAATGATAAAAATGATTTCAGTCACATCCACAAATATTAAGAGATCATTTTGACTCACTGATACTAGGACCCTTCCTACATCCGGTCCTTGGGACAGTGTCTCTGTTACAGTACACTCTTTGCTGATGCCTTCCAGAAACACAGACCTTCCTTTCTAATCATCCACCTAAGAATTATAAAATTCACCTATGGCCTACAAGCACCGCTTTCAGATGTCCTTCCTATTTGCAAAAGACCAATGGGAAACTCTTCACTAAACTCCAGACATTGTCTCTCACTCCCCAAATTAAATAAAAGGAACCCCTGTATCTGATCACCCTGAAAAAGATGTTTGCCTCTTTTCCAGGCCTGGTCACACACATTAATGCTTAGAAATAAACCACATTAATTATTATTTCTCCAGAGTTGGTTGTTTCTGTTAACATGACAAAAGGTAGTTCACTAGAGGGATACTTCTTAATCTCACTAACACCTGTTTGTTACTTTACCATCTTTTTAACTCATCTAGCATCAGCATACATTTCCACATATATGGAAGTTAAAGCTCACCATGCTGTTTCACACTTTGGGGTATTCATATAGGATATTTTCTCTGCCTAGAACCCTTTCATTTGTCTGTCTTTATCTTACCAAGAACAATTGTACCTACTACCCTGTGATTTCTCATGATGCATGAGGCACTGAGGTAAGAAATGTATATTTATTACTTCATTTAACTTTAAAACCAACCTCGATTTAAGTCATTTTCCCAACATCATGGAACTTACGAGCCAAATTTAAATGAAAGTTGTCTTACTCCGAAGTCTGGCTTTTGACTACTATGTCAAGTTAGTTCCTTACCATTATAATTTCCTCAAATATTTTATCATTTAGCACAAGTTTTATATCTTTTTGAATAAATGTCACTCTATTCATATATTTTGGCAAAGTCTTTTTATTTTCTATAGTGCACAAGCATTTGTCAGAGAGAGTTAGAGAGAGAGAGGTAGAGAGAGAGAGAGAGAGAGAGCAACAAATCACTCTCCACCCCCGAGGAGATGGCAATGCCACAATCCCTTCTCCATTCTCCTCTGAGGATTTTTGGCATACACACACATGCATCCACTGTGATTTTCAAGCTACTGGGTGTAGGACTTGAACCACAGAATCAGCCATTTGTTATCCAGCTACCTTAACCTCCACATCACCAGCTGGACTGGTAAGAGTCCTTTTAAAAATGTAACTACAAGGGCATCATTTGTTTTGTTCATGCCTTCATCTGGACTCTATCTGTAAAACGACAGAAATCTGTATTCTCAAAACTTAAAGCAAATTATTTGCCCCTTTGGAAAACTAATATTTGTCTTTCTAATTCCCACCTGGAGGAAATTATGCATTTTAGAAATCAGTTTCAACCTTTGGTCTTTTTTACACTGCTGAAAGCAGAAAAATTGAAGCTTATCTCCTTTCTCACAGGTGATCATGACTTTTTTTTCCCTATGACATCCATGTTTTTTCTGTATTATCTTGAATTTCACAGACTGTGTTTTCTTTACCTACTTATTTTTTTTTTTCTGCAACACAAAATCAATATACAGAGTCTGAGAACAGTAAAAAGTAGCTAACATATAATAATGAGGATGCTACTTATGGCAATTCAAAACAAGATTGGTTTAGCCATGGTGGTACATATTGCTAAGAGGCTGAGCTCTGCAGTCTGGGACCATGTGGGAAGCCTGGGCTTGATTGTCACTCCAACCTAAGATTGAGCATGGTTGCTTTTAGTTGTAATCCCACTGATTCAGAGACATTGAGGCAGGAGTGTCACAAGCTAAAGATGGGCCTGGGAAATACAGTCAGATTCTCTCTGAAGAAAGAGTCAGGTGTGTTAGATTTGTCTATCATCAACAATGTAGATGGGGCCATTTTGAGAGGACAATGCACAGTATGTCTACCTGAGATTCTGTGATGCTACATTAGGTGAGAACACATGTGGGTTAAACCCCTCAAAATGCCCTGACCTCAGGCTAGGGTCATTCTGCAGAGTGTCATTTCTACCACCATAGCATTTCTTGATGTCAGAGCTCTAGGAAATAGCACATTGGCAGAAAATTGGGGACCAAGGTAGTTTATTTTTAATACTCTTTCTCTGTAGCATCCTAGTCTCCTTCAATTGCAACAGGACACTTTAAATAAAGGGGAGATTGTTTAATCTATAAAAAGAAGTGTCAGAGCAATGGGTAGCTTCAGTGAAAAAATGAAAACCAAGTCTTAAGTTATGAATCATCACAACTAATGAAAGGGCTGCCAGTCAAGGGGGTGATAAGCACTGTAAAGCCTAAAGGTAAAAACAAATGGGAGAAGTGATGGAATATGGAAGGAAGTTGAGGAGTTCGGACAAATGTAGGCAGATCTTACGTAAAGATCTGGAAATGAAATGAGCTATACTTATTTTTATAATTTTATTTTTCTTATAATACTTGGTAAGTTGTACTCTTTCCAGATTTGGACTGGCCAGCACAAAACAGCTCCAGGAGTGGTCTGACATGGGATGCAATGCACTGGGATCACCTGTGGGTGACTGGAGTTCATTGGAATCTGACTTCTCATCAATGTGACTAATTCAGCCTAACAGAGGAAGGTCCATTCCCTAACGCAGGTTTACCAGTTATAGCAGGCTCTTGGTGAGAAAGCAATAGTAACAGTGATAAGGAATCATGTGAACACAGTACCCTATAGAAGGGAATTATGCAACTACTCAGAGAGATATCATATGATACCATTTTCAGAACAATCCATAGGAGAAAATATGAAGCATATAGAGAAAAACGTATCATAAATGTGGATGTTGAAATTTCAGGCAATTGAAATTGAATTATATAAAATTTGATTGGGTAGCTGTCTGCATTTCCTAATTTTTTTTCAGAAATAGTCTAGTATTACAAACAAACAAATAAAAAAGCCCTGGTATTAGTCACTTGTTTTGGGGACAAAACTAATTGAAGTTTCAATTAATTATTTTAGATTGTTTCACCTATTTACAATCATCAAAGGTAGGCCAGTCCAAATTTGAATAAGTACAATTTAACAAGTATTATGAGAAATGTGCAATTATATATATATATATGTATATACACACACACACACACACATATATATATATGTATATGTATATACACACACATATATATACGTATAAATATAGCCATTCATTTCCAGATCTTGGTATAAATTTTTCATCTGTCTACATTTTCCCAAACTCAACTTCCTTCTGTATTCCATTACTTCTTTCATTTGTTTTCATGCCTTTTAGGCCTCAAAGAGGTTACCACCTCCTTGACCAAAGGCCCTTCCATTAGTTGTGCTGATTCATATCTTAGGACTTGGTTTTCACTGAGCAAATAAATGTATTATTATCAATATCTTCTATGACACAGGCACTGAACAAAGCCTTTAGATGCAATGAACTACAATCTGACAATGTAGCCCTAAACATGGAACTCTGAGTAAAGTAAAAAATATGAACACTTCTTAACCTCCACTGTCTTAAGTAGAAGAAAAGAGGAGAAAATAGTTCCTACTAGAGAGAGCACCATGAAGCTTTTACCCAGGGTGTAGGGGTCAAAGTGAGGATGCCATGAGAAAAGGATATGCACACTGAGATCCAGAGGGTGGTTAGTTTGGCCAGTTAAGATTAATTTTTTCAGGTGGAGAAAATATTAGGTATGAAAAATTCTGAAGAATAAAGGAGCATGGGGACAGACAATAGTGGGATGGTCAAGGTGGTTGAATCCCACATGGCCTACTGCATGGTTCTAGCTGGGGATTTGAAACACATGATGGGGGTGTGAATGAGTGACCAAAATACTGAAAAATGAAGGAAAGGGGTTGTGGCATGATTATGCCTCATGTAGGGTGCTTTATCTGTCTATCTCTGGTGAGCTCATGTGCCTTCTGACAAATTAAAATAGAAAAAAGGTTTTTAAAGAAAGGATCATGATGTCTGTAGAGGCAACTTTAAATAGATTTGACTAGAAAAGAGAATAAGTGAGAAAGAGGTGAGGGCAGCAACAGTGACCACATTGTTGTGTCCATCGTGTTGCATGGACTCTGCACCTCTCTCCCCGAGAACAACACAGGACAGAAAACTTCCTGCTTCAGAGATAATGTCAAGTCTCTCAAGTATCCCTGTGGAAGCCAAAGATTAACATGTAGTGAATTCTCAATCTGATTTATTGAGTTTTGAGGTCTGATTCCTATACTTTGGGTTTTAAAAATAAATAAAGGAAAAGAGGAATAGGAAGAGTGTACCGTAGTTGAGGAATTGTTGGATGGAGTGGATGACAAGGTTTGGGAAGGTGGGCAGTGGTCCATGGTTGTGAACTTGCTGGTTGTTGCAGCATAGAGAGGCGAAGTCTGCTCCTCAGACACCTTATTCCTTTTGTTTCCCGTCTTTTCTGTGGTTGTCATTTTTCTTTTCTGAAAGTAGTTTAATTTTCCTGTTAGTGGATTTTATTTTTAGAACATCTGTCCTTTCATTTGAATTTAAAATCAGTTTCTTTACATATTTTAGGTCCAAGTTCTGGATAGTGAAGACAGAGTAGTAGATGCTGCAGGCACTCAGTATTGGCTCCCACCCCTCCCCTTCCTCCCTCCCCCACTGTTAGTGGTTTTTAGTATTAAATGAAGTAAAACACATTTTCATTTTGAAGTTGTCAGTTCATGAAACCTAATAATTTTTTTGGAGACTTTAGGGAGTCCTGCCCACCACTGGCCAGTTACAATTAGTAGGTGTAGATGGCTCATGACACAAAGAGAGAGGAGAAAGTTATACATATCATTCTCTAATTACTTTGGTTGTGGGATGGAATGACTTTGAAATGGGAAAAACTACATTTTATAAACATGAACAAAGCATTATTGTCCTATCTGATTCTCAAGTTAGCATACTTCTATAGTGGAGATGAAGTTATCGAATTGATGGCTTATTATACTTACTTTGTATTTACTAAAGTGCTTAATGCACTGCCTTACACAAAGAAGATATCTTGATCAATTTGATACAATTTAGTAATCTGCACTTGATGGGAAATTAATGAAGACATAACTTCCTGATGAAGAGATTGAGTGGAAGAGCAATAGCAGAGTTTCCTCTGTGGGACCTTAAACCCGCTCCTCTTGCCAAGCTCACCTGAGCCACAGGAGCCCCCTCTACTCCTTCAGATGTGCGACTGCTGCTTAGAGTGGATGCTGGGGAAGCAGGACCCACTTCTGTCTGTTGGATCCTTTCCAATGGGGTTTTTCCTTTTGCTGAGATGGACTTCATTTTCTTCACAACTAATGAAGAAAAAATGAGGACCTGTAAATTCAGAGCACCTGGTCTGGGAGAGTTGCGTAGTGTCAATACTATTTCTTCTCTACTTCTGCTTGAAGGCTGAGGTGTGCCTGTGTTCAGCACAAGCTTAGCCCAGGCTGGCCTCAAAGTGGCCAATAGTCAGAATGGAGGCACACGCGTGGTCACGTATTCCTCTACACTTCCTTTACCTGTTCCCTGTGTACCGGACACATCTTTCTCATCTTCTGAACCCTGCAATCCTCAGTCAAACCCTTTTCCAGTTCTGTTCTCCTATTTTTTTCTTTTAAAAAGTTCAGGGTTTTTATGACGCTTCCACGTGTGTCATCTTCTGCAAGTAATTTATTAAAATTACATAACAATGTGAAAGAAAATATAACCTCGACTTTTGGAGCAACAAAATAATGTCATTAGCCTCCCCTTTGCAACTATTCTAAGCCAGTGATTTAAAGAGGGGAATTGTTCATTTATTTGAAAGGTAGACTTATATTTAAGTACTGTCTTATCATTTTTAATTATAAAGGTGGATGATAGGGACCAGCAGACGAAGTAATGATTATGTCACTGGACTCCCACGTAGTTGACTGCAGTTTGCATTCTGGACCTGGAGCTTATTTATTTATTTTTATTTTAAATTTTTAATAAAATTTTTTGAGAGATTTTTTGCTATAGGGCACGTGCACTCACCGGAAAGACAGAGAGACAGAAAGCAAGAAATTACCCCCCGAGGGGATGGCCACGCCGCAATCCCTTCTCCTCCACTCTCCTCTTGGGATCTTAGGCATGCACGCACACGTGCCCAGTGTGAGTTTAAGCCACCAGGTCCAAGACTCGAACCACGGTCGACTACATGGGACTCCAGCGATGTAAGCATTACACCAACTGCTGGCGCCCTGGACCCGGAGCTTTAAACTCACGCTGGGTACATGTGTATGCACGGTGAGAATCCTGAGAGGAGAATCTAGGAGAAGGAGTTGTGGCATAGCCATCCCTCTGGGGGGCGATTTCTCACTTTCTATCTCTCTGTCTCTGGCAAGCACATGCTCCCTATAGCAAAAATCTCTCAAAGAAAAAAAGGTTGATGATAGATTGTGTAATGTCAGAAGAAGATTCATTAATTCCCTAAATGTACACTTAAAAAATAGAAACCACAACTTTCATAATTTTGTTTTGCCATTATCTAATAGTTTTAGAGTACTGGAAGTCTCTCGTCAACTCCCTCCCTTTCGTTCTATCACTGCATCCCAAATACACCCTCCAAAATATAATACACCCCGTATCACAAAAGGGAATAGCCTAAGCTGCTGAATTGTTGACATTTGAACTACCAACTTGGCCACTGGGGAATAAACTGAGAAAGGGAGGTATCAACTACAACCAAGGTGGAGTGCTATGCAAGGTGGAGAGGGTTGGGAAGCATGGCAAGGAGGGCGTGCTCCCTATTACCTTTCAACTTCTCTGCTCGCAGTTTTTTAACAAGATGTTTAAGTGGTGTTATATTTTTGATCAGTGCGATTAGTTTGTCCACACCAGCATCATATCGGAACACTTTCTCCATTAAGTCGGCAATCTGAATTCTGTTGTACTCATGTTGCATTTTTCTAGTCAGCTTCAAATCATAGGCTAGTAAGGATTTAATGATGCTGAAATAATAATTATTGATGTGCTCTAATCCTTTCAGGAGGACAATTTTTTTGTATTCATTCGCCATCTCTCAAGCCTATAAAAGAAAAATGGCGTAAGTATCACACACATACAGACAATTTAAAAGATGAGATATTCCTCTGTGAGTAAGTGGCCATATGAAAGTGTTGTCCATAGATGTGTATATAACCAAGAGGTGCTTAATTTACCAGATGCATCACCATGAAGAATGGGTTGAGAATTGATACATTAGGAACTTCTATGAAATTCTTCCCTCTCAGTAATGACAGTTGAATTGGGTCAAGGTGAGAGTGGTGGAAGAATGTCCGGAAATAGACACATGTGTCAGTGATTAGAAATGGGCTGCACAGGGTCACAGTTCTTGGTCTCTTTTCTCTTCTTTTATTGGGGCTGTAGCCAGTCATCCATTGTCTGCCTTTTGGTCCTGATTCTTCCTGCACCTGCTATAACTAACTTACGTAGCTCATCTGCGAAGTGGGCTTTGCCTCTGACCTTACATAGGAATAACCATCTGCCACAGTACTGAGAGTCCATGCTGGGTACTGACCCCGTCATCCCCGCTTGTCCCTAATCAGCTCTCATTAGCATCTAGTCCCCGTCGTGTTGGACCATGTCCTCAATGTTCTCTGTGCCCGCCCATGCCACATCCCTTTGCTGGACAACTACATGCCCGCTAGCGCAGATTCAGGATTTATTGACAGGAATTATTTCAATGGCTGCTTGATATTTTTCCTCCTCTCAGGCTTGTTTTCTTTAATCATTTCTTTTCATAGAAGCAGTTTTTACTCAACAAGCCACAAGTCAAGTTTCTATCCCACTGTAATCCTTTGTTTTCTACTTCCTTTTTAAAAAAAATCCCTTGCTACTTAAAATGTCTTAGAAAGTCTTGGATAATCTGCGTTTTTTTTGGCTTCTGTTACATTTGGTGTCCTTATGCTTTATGTTTCAAAACTACACAACACACCCTGCCTTTTCATGTTTCATGGTTTTTCAAACTCCTTTCTCACCGATGAGAAAACCATTTCCACATTTCTTTCTCTGACCACCTCTCATATAATGTAAAACTCAACTAAAGCTTTGTCTTCTGGAAGTTTCCAGCGTCTCCATATGGCTATGTCACTCCTCTGGATCACTCTGTCATCCTGCGTACTTCCCAGGTGGCATTCAGTGCATGGTATGCATTGCAATTTTCTGTTTAAGTTGTACCTTTTGTATTCTCAGGATGTTCAAAATTCTGGGGCTAATATTTCTTCATTCTTAAGAGAATGTGAGAATCCTCAGATTGAAAAGATGCGTAAGGGAAAATCCACACCAAGACACATTATAACTAAACAATGTTAAAAACAAAGTGAATACTCTGCATTTTCCCAGAAATAAATAGATCACTGAGAGGTTCAAGAATCTGATTGAAACTGATTGTCAATAGCAAGTGCTCAGAGCAGGACAATGAAGTAATTTTTTTATTCTTTTTTTTTTTTTGGAGAGATTTTCACTGTAGGGCGCGTGTGCTCGCCAGACAGACAGAGAGAGACATAGAGACAGAAAGCGAGAAATCACCCCCCAGGGGGGATGGTCACGCCGCAATCCCTTCTCCTCCATTTTCCTCTCGGGATCTTGGGCACGCACGCACACGCGCCCGGCATGAGTTTTAAGCCACCGGGTTCGGGACACGAACCGCGGTCGACTACGTGGGAGTCCAGCGACATAGCCATTACGCTAACTGCTGGTTCCTATGAAGTAATTTTTATATGATACTAATCACAAATTCCACATCTATTGCTCAACACAAAAATTTTAAAACAGAATTGTGACAGTAAAATTTATTTGAGAAGTAAAAGCAGATGTGAAGAAACAGGAAGCTATATAAAATCTTTATTCCTTCCACTTAAATGTAAATATTTATGTATTGTTGCTGAAGTATTAGTGCTTTTGACTTCAATGGGATTTATAGCAATGTATTGAGAATATGTGCATTAAATTGCCCTCTGAAGTCCCGAATTCTGAATTTCAAAGCATATTTAGCTCACAAGTACAGGAGAGAGTCTTTCAACCTGTTTGGAAGAAGGGATCTGATCAAAGAGAAGAGAAACAGAAAATATATTAACATGGGGGAGGGAGGAAAAAGGAAATGACAGTTTGCTAATGTGTATTCGTCTTCAAGGGTTGATAAAGGTATAAATTGAAAAGAAAGACAGGAAGGAGGACATTGAATGTTATACATTGAAAGTAGCAGAAACAATGATAAATATGTTAATATCAGTATATACATAAAGCCTAATCAGGTAAAGGACAACTTTTATCAAACTCGATTTAAGAAACATATACCGTTAACAAAAGATTATTTAGATGTGAAAAAACTATTTGAGTTATATGTAAACAATGACTAAAAGAAAACCAGTCGATATTAGTGCAGTTTAAAATAGACTTTAAGACAAATACATTAAGGTAAGAAATATCAAATACCATATGATAAAAGATATAACTGCCAGAAAGCAGTAAGAGTTTTAATTATCTAAAAGATATAAATATATATTAATTGCTAACACTTTATAGTCTTTCCTGGTATAATAGAATAACATTATGTAGTATATTTCTCTTCATAAACACACACACTTGTACCTATCATAGATATATATCTATATGTGTGTATGCATGTATATATAATCATATGTACAGATAATATACATTACATATTTGTATGTATGAGTATATATAATATGCATATGAATTCAAAAAATTAATGGAAAATGTGCATTATAAAACCACTATAAATGTATTTCAAAATTTTTTGTGGTGACAAAAGTATTTCCATATGTAACTAAACATGTGTTAAATAATTTTTTTATTAAACTTCTTGAAAAACATTGGTATATAAATTTGAGAGAAACACAGAAAAAATAATTTTATGGTAGAAAATTTTAGTAAATCTTTTTAAACTAATGAACAAGGTAAAAGAAGTTTACCAGTTATTAGTTGTCAACAAACCTGGGGCTGCCAGATTTTGATAATTTGAGCAACGTAATTGATAAGCTTAATTAGCAATGATTTTCTAATATATATAAAATTTTGAAATTAACATTTGAATTTTACATTCTATTTAAAAATACAAATGAAATATTGTACCAGGATAAAGAGAACATCTTTAAATAATTCTACTGTAAGCAATAGAAATCTATTTATAATTGGTGTTCATACTTCCTTATATCTTGTCAACAGAAAAAGACAAAATTATGATCTTTCAAGACGGCAGAAGGTAATCACAAAATAACTGAAATTCTACCTGAACACTTTGCGTAGAATGGAGGTAACATGAATGCTGAACATAGTTGTGGAAATACAAGTTATTCAAACACATTTGAATAACTGTGTACAACTGAGCAATGTTTTACTACATATGTATTTGTTCTTATCTTTTTCAAAATTAGAATAACATTCTATAACATAATTTTATGTCTAGATGCATTTTTTACATATATTATTTCATGGTACTTTTTTCATGTCACCATCTTGTCTTTTATTCAAGCTCCCAGCACAGCCACTGTCTTTCTTACACTATCTCAAGCCAAGAAAACCAAGGTCTCATTTTAAATGTCAGCTTATACCAGTATATGCAAACACTTAAGTTAAAAACCTATAATAGGAGGCCACCAGGTGGTGTAGTGGTTAAGGAACTGGACTCCCACATGGCCTACTGTGATTGGAGTCCCAGACCAGGTGGCTTGCTTGCTCACTTTCCCTCTCTCTCTCTGTTTTCTCTCTCTGGTGAGCACATAAGCCTTATAGAAAACTTAAAAAATTAATGATAATGATAATAAATAAAACAAATAATTTTTTAAAAAGATAAAAATTGTCATGATATATTTCCCTTTGTTTGGGTCACAGTTGTGGTGGAATAAAAGATGTTCAATATCTTCTTATGTAAGGAAGGATTAGAATCTGGCAGGTGCAGTTGAATACAGTCAATACCAGCCCTACTGCCCTCACCCTCCCACCCAAAAAAAAATCTGTGCTGATTTTTGAGGATTTCAAGGAGGTATGTGAATCTCTCTACAAAAACTGCCCACTGGACTCACCTCCCTGGAAAGTTTTTCAACAGTTGTCCAAATCTGGAGACCTTCAGAAATGGTGGTATCAATGCTTTTTTTGTTTGAGTAGGAAGATAAATCAATAAAGCTCTCAGAAACTCAACTGTAGGATGCTATAATCTCCTGAAATGCCAAGAAAAGAAAGTAGTTCTAAAGACAACGCAGAACAGTTGCACTGGTTAAAGTCACTTAATAACTTTGACTAGTGTTGGCTGTTTCACACTGTACTGCCCTTCAGAGGGAGGAGAGTTATGAAAAAAATTGAGACTCCTCCCTTCACTGTTCTTAGGTTTCGATTCTTTTAGTCAGAGGAAATGGACTGTTTTCCTCCTGAAAGCATCTTAAACAGGATAAAAACGTATAGCAAAGTTATGCTTCGATTTTTTTCCTTACACACATCAATAAGTGGAAAGATTTCCAACATTAGAACTTTCTTATCTGGTAGACACTTACATGTATGTTGCTAGAAAGCTGTATTCACTTTAATGACATGGAAATGACATGTAAGAGGAGTTAAGTGAATCATCCAGGCATTCCTTTCTCTTTCAGTTCAGAGTGCCAGTGGTGGGAAGACATCTTGTTAGAGGCATCTATAATATTATTACTGGTATCTGACTGTACTTACCGGATGGGCAATGTCTGCTATGCGGTCGCTATTAACGTAAATACTATCTGAAGCATTCACCCATTTATTTATTTTTTAAAGAATTATTTATTTATGGCACCAGCAGATGGATTAACGGTTACATCGCAGGACTCCCATGTAGTCTACTGCAGCTATAGTCCTGGATCTGGCGGCTTAAAATTCATGCTGGGGCCATCTGTGTGAGTGTCCAGGATCCTGAGTAGAGAATGAAGGAGAAAGGACTGCAGTGTGGCCAACTCCCCTAGGGAATGATTTCTTTCTTTCTGTCTCTCTTTCTTTCTGGCAAGTGCACCTGCCCTGTAGTAAAAAACCCTCTAAGAAAAAAAGATATATATAATTTTATTTATCATTATTATTATTATTTTTTAAGCTTTCTACAGGGCATGAGCACTCACTAGAGAGAGACAGAGTCGGAAAGAGAGAGAGAGAGAAAGTAAGACAGCAAGCTACCAGATCCAGGACTCGAATAGCAGTCAGTCATGTGGGAGTCCAGAGCCTTAACCACCATACCACCTGCAGGCCCTAACCCAGTTATTAATTGTTGACAAACCTGGGGCTGCCAGAGGCAAACGGTTGTTATGAATCTGCAAATCCCTTCTCAAATATATAGAAAGTAGTTTGCTGTCTTCTTGACTACATAAGATTAGGATGCTTTATTCAGTGATTAAACTTATGATTATTCACACCTTCATTATCATGTACATGTATAGTGGGTGCAAGCTCATATCATGGCAGCGTGAAGTACTGAACATTCTGAAAAAGCACAGGACTTCTTGTAGGATGGGAGCCTGATATTGCTTTTGATCTGCATAATTTTCTGTAAGGGACAATGGATAGTGAATGCTTCCTTGAGTATTGTAACCCCAAGATGTCAGCAGATGATGTAGTGGTAACCCATTAGCTGACCTGCACACTGAGTGAGGTCATAAACCGAAATAGAAGCTCCAAAGACAGCCAGTACAGAGAAACGATCTGAGGCCACCAGCCATGGAGAAGAAAGCAGACCATTTTAAGGTAAACTAGTCTCATGGAGCTTGAAGTCTGGATTTAAAACCTCCTGAAAAAAGGCAGGAGTAAATCAAGCAAAAACAAGGACAATTTGCAGTGACCACCACAAGTACTTGTGCGTGAACATGGTGCTCTTTATAACCTTATAGGTTATAACCTTATGTTTATTTCTTTATTTGGAGGCCTTAACCTAGTCTTAAGGCAATGGGTATATGTCCTTTAGGGAGTTCAGAGGGAGGTCAGAGAGGGTCCCAATCTGAAAATTGAGGGAATCAGCAGTTAGCGTAATGGCTATGTCGCTGGACTCCCATGTAGTCGACCGCAGTTCGCGTCCCGGACCCAGTGGCTTAAAACTCACGCCAGACACGTGTGCGTGCGTGCCCAAGATCCTGAGAGGAGAATGGAGGAGAAGGGATTGTGGCGTGACCATCCCCTCTGGGGGGTGATTTCTTGCTTTCTGTCTCTATGTCTCTGTCTGTTTGGCATGCGCACGTGCCCTATAGCGAAAACCTTTCAAAAAAATTTTTTTAAAAATAAAAATAAATAAAAATTGAAAAATAAAGGACACAGGGGCAGTAGGTGGCATAGTGGTTAAGGCACTGGACTCCCACATGCTGACCAAGGTTTGAGTTCCAGACCTGGTGGGATGAAAATTATTTCAAATACAAAATTCTGAGAAGAGAATGGAGGAGAAGTGTTTGTGGTGTGGTCATCTCCCCTGGGGGGATTATTTCTCAGTTTCCCTCTCACTGTCTCTCTCTGACTCTACTCTCCAGCAAGTGCATTTGCTCTATGGCAAAAACCTAAAATATAAAAAAGAAAGAAAGAAAAAGAGAGAAAGAGAAAAGGAAAGGAAAAGAAGGAAGGAAAAAGAAAGAAGAAAAAAGAGAAAGAAAGAAAAAAGAAGGGAGAAAAAGAAAGAAGAAAGAGAAAGAGAGAAAGAAAAGGAAGAAGAAAGAAAATGGAGGACACATGGTAGGAATAACTATAGTTCATGACACAATTCATGACATTTTTCTGCTCCTTTTCAGGTAAACCTTTTAGCTGGAGCAATGTAATTGGTTGGAATTCCATGTTACAACACACAAATTACTGTTAACCAGGTAGACAATTCAGAACAATGTTCCATAATTCACTTGCAATTTTAATAGATGAAGCAAAGGAATACCAAAAAATGCACAGTAATCCTAACTTTTTTTTCATTCTAAACCATGAGAAAACATATATTTTACTTTAAATCTGTTAACAAACAATACATTAGCGTGCTGGGGTCAGCAGATGGCTGTAGTGGTTAAGAAGGCACTGGATTCCCATGTGGGTGACGGCGGTTCAAGTCCTACACCCAGCAGCATGAAACTCATGCCAGGCACGTGTGCATGTGTGCCTAAAATCTTGAGAGGAGACTGAAGGAGAAGGGATTGCAGCATGACCATCCTCCAGGGAGATGATTTCTTGCTTTTTATCTCTCTCTCTCTCTCTCTGGCAAGCGCACATGCTCTGCGGCTGTTGTAAGTAAGTGAGGACCGTCTTGTAGGCTGGACTGTTTCCCCTGAGGGGCATAGCTGGGTAACTCTCACAGCTGGCCTAAAGTCTTCTCAGATGTTAAAACTGAAGGGCTGCACAGCAAATTGTTAACACTGACCCGGAGGCCCTGGCAGAGTCGCCGGGGGCTGCGGCTCCTCCCAGCCTGCAGATGCTGCAGCGGCCTAGGCAGGGTCGCATCATGAGGACGCTCTCATGGCCGGGCTAGCGGCTCCACTTGGTCCTCCAGCTCGGGTATGAGGAAGAAGGCGGCCGCCCAGTGGTCGCCTGAGCCCTCGGCCCAGCCAGGAAAGCCATGTGCTGCGGCCCGGAAGTGAATCAATCCTAACATTCAAGGAGTGGCTAAAGAGGTAGTGATTTCTTCTATCAAACAGAAATTTCACTAGTAGAATATATTAAAATTCCTGATGTGGCACGGATATTTGGATAAACTTGGCATGACTATTTAGCATTTGAAATATTAATTTACACTGTCTTTCGAAATCCTCAGCTAAATCTTTGCCATATTGATGTCTTAAGCAAGAGGTGGCCAAATTACAACTCCTGCGCCAAACCCAACACACCACTGGCTTTTATAGTTTTATCAGAACACCACTATGCTTGTTTATTTATGCTTTGCCCATGTCTGCTTTATGGTGGAATTGTTGAGTTGACTAGCTGCGGGAAAGTCCAACTGGCTACAGAGTCTGAAAATTTTACTACATGTGGAAGACTAAACTGAAAAAAAAAACCCAAAAAACCAAAACCAAACAAACAAAAACCTCTCTAAGGATTCTATACATATGAATAGCCAAAAGGCATATGAAAAAATGCTCAAAATCCCTCATTAAGGGGATGAGCAGTTGGTGTAATTACTATGTTGCTGGACTCCCATGTAGTCACCCACAGTTCGAGTCCTAGGACCCAGTGGCTTAAACTCACACCGAGTGTGTGTGCGTGCATGCCCAAGGTCCGGAGAGGAGAATGGAGGAGAAAGGATTGCTGCATGGCCGTCTTCCCTGGGAGGGTGATTTCTCGCTTTCTGTCTGTCTATCTCTCTCTGTCTTTCTGATGAGCACACATGCCCTATAGAAAAAACCTCTAAGAAAAAAGAAATTGTGCTGTATTAGAAATTTACAGAAATCCTAAAAAGTGCCTGTTCCAATTTATTTTGGCAAACCTCAAGATGGTCTCTTTTCTCAATCAGCTGAGGTTTCCTTTCAGGTTTTGTTAAGATGAGTTTATGGTAGTGTTTAGTCTACTACATGCTCTTGTTTCCTACAGTATAACCTTTTCTTTTGTTAATTTGATGCCCAGGTTTTAAAAGATGTGTGTCTATTCTATTGTAGCAGCACCTACTGTTCGCACCAGTGGATGCACCATTGGCTCCTCTGCACATTTGTTTTGTTCTCATCCCATACAGCTGCTCTCTGACAGGTCGGATGTTGTCTCTGCCCCTGTGCATGCAACCCAGGACTCAGCTAATGAATGGGGCCCTTCTCTGTACGGTTTCCTTCTCTGCAGAGTTCAGCTATTTAGGTGACATGAAAAGTGATGTTTACCTTCCATGCTCAGTGTGAACATTATGCTGGCTAGCCTGCTATCCGGAAATCCTTCCAGGGATCTGAGACAATTGCAGAGCTTGCTTCGTGAATTTGGCTTCTGTCTGGGATCTTATTCTTGTATCCCCTGTAGTTCAAAGCCTGAAAATGGTCACCTCATGTTAATTTATAGTTATTCATTGCATGTGGCAGGTGAGCTAATTTGCAATTGCCAGAAAAAGACCATAGTTCTGTTTATAGCATTGACTTTAGATATTTCATTTGTTTAGGTGATACTAAATTTAATTGCAAAGTGAAATCCTTTTCTCTGGGCCAATAGACTCCTTCAGGGAATAGGTCTTGTTGATTGTGATATGGGCTTTGGGACTAACTGTATACATTTGGGAATAGTTTTGTATAAGCCTTATTGTTTGGAAATTACAATGTAGACCCCCAATGTTGTTGTTAAGTTTTTATTTATTTATTTATTTATTCCATGAGCAAAAAAGAGCAAGAGAAAGAGAAAGATGGCAACCCCCAACAGAGTCTTCACAGTATAAGCAAGCCCCAGACACAGCCAGGCCTGGATCATGGGCATACTTGTGTCCTGAGAACTTAGGGAGGTCTCTGGACACAAACTCAAAACCTTCCCAAGTGTATCAGCTGCACAGAGAATCGTGTTTATAGTGGCACCATGGTTGGCCCCTGTAGACCCAAATGCTGATAAGACATTTGTATTTCACCCTGTGTGTCTCAGTGCACAGGTCAACTGGCTTCAAGCAGCTCACTACTGAGAGAACATGTACAGCACTTTTGGGAAATGATATATTTTTTAAAAAGAAATTTTATTTGTTTACTATTAAACATTTCATAGGTTCAAAATGCAGTGTTTTCAGAAAACATGGGAGCACATAATAAAAAATTATATCAAAGAGAACATCTAATCCATAACTCGGTATGAAAACTCTTAATAAACTTGGATATTTCTACGGAATCTGTGGTTTAAAAGAACATTTCCGTTTTAATCTCAGTTTTAATGCCACCAAATAGATTTGGAGGGTAATTGTTTACTTGAAATTCTGCATTGGAACCAGATTCTGTTGGTTGCTTCTTGCTTTTCTTGACGACCTTAAAGGAAAGATGAGAAAGACTCAATGAGATCCTAGCCATTGAGGTGAAGATCTGCTGATGTTTCTCCTGTCACCCACTGCTCTTCATCCTTCCCAAGGTCCCTTTCTCCCTTCTCAAAGGCTGTTCATTTTCTCTCCCCATCTCTCATTGTTTTTTTCTTTTTTAAATTTTGGAGAGATTTCTGCTATAGGGCATGTGCACTCGTCAGAAAGACAGAGAGAGACAAAGAGGCAGAAAGTGAGAAATTCCCCCCCTCCCCCCACGTGCCAAGGGGGATGGTCACGCCACAATTCCTTCTCCTCCATTCTCCTCTCAGGATCTTGGGCATGCATGTACACATGCCTGGTGTGTGTTTAAGCCACTGGGTCTAGAACTCGAACCGTGATCGACTACATAGGAGTCTAGCAACATAGCCATTACGCCAACTGCTGGTTCCATCTTCCCCATCTCTTTAATGCATTGCTTTTCTTTGCATACCTTCCCCATCATCTGGAGCCTACAAAAACTATTTCCTCATAATCAATGTGGATATATTGGAGCAGGGAAGGAATTCCCGAAGGTGGTGAGGGGAAACCATACACAAGAAGAAAGGGCTCAGTTACTAAGTGTTCTGTGGGTGCAGCAAATAGAAAAGGGGAAAAATAAGGTTTGCTTTTATTGGAGCGATAGCTCTGGATTAGGGAATCTGAGTAGAACAACTAACATATACGTGCTGTCTCTGTGCCTGAATACACCGGTGTTTCTGCTTAAAGCACAGTATTTGTTCTTTGAGGTGGTGCTAACTAGGATTTCAGAGCATTGGTCTCTATATTCAAAACCTGGGGATAGTTACTATAGCTCCATCATTGTCTCAGCTCCCAGCACACAGTGAGTGCTCAGTGTTTTCTACTAGTACACATGTAAAGTTATTATGTAATTATTTATTCTACACAATATTACCCAAACCCATGTATATACCTTTAAACTTAAAAATATATATACATCTTGGACCAGCAGTTAGTGTAATGGCTATGTCACTGGACTCCCATGTAGTCGACCATGGTTCGAGTCCCGGACCCATGGCTTAAGCTCACGCTGGGCGCATGTGCATGTGTGCCTAAGATCCCGAGAGGAGAATGAAGGAGAAGTGATTACGGTGTGGCCATCCCCCTTGGGGGGTGATTTCTCTCTTTCTATCTCTCTGTCTCTCTCTCTTTCTGTGTCTTTCTTGCGAGTGCATGCATCCTATAACAAGAACATATATATATATATCTCAGGACCAATAATTGGCATGGTGGTTAAGGGGCTAGACTCCCATGTGATAGACTGCAGTTTAAGTCCTGGACTGGGTAGCTTGAAAATCATGCCAGGTGCATCTGTGTATGTGCCCAAAACCCAAGAAGAGACTGAAGGAGAAGAGACTGTTGCATGGCCATCCTCCCTGGAGGATGATTTCTCATTTTCTTATTTTCTGTTTCTCTGTCCTCAGAGAGCAAGCCCTACGGCAAAAAGTCATACACACACACACACACACACACACATACATCTCTTATACAAAATTACTTTTTGTTCCAGATCTGTATATCAAGATCTGTATAACTCCAGATTGAAGGACATTTATTTATTAGATATCTTATAAGCAGATGAAATTCAACCTGCTCAAACCAGAACATATTTTTATTCCCTAGACCATGTTCTTCTCTTGCATTCTCAATGTTAGTGACTAATAACACAATTTATGCAACTTTCTGGATATTATGTTTGAATCATCCTTGAATGCTCTTTAAGTTTTTTTTTTTTTTTTTTTCCTCCATTGTAACACCCAGACTCTGGTGTTCCCAAAGCCTAAGAAAAATTATTGGCTTCTTCAACGAACAAATGATCCTCTATCCAGTTCTTACCTCAATTAAACTGTGAGTTCCACATGTTAGTATTGGCTTCTTATTCATTGTTCTCAGTTGAAAGTAGAAAAGTCGTAGTTTATCACCTGTCTCACAATTAATATTGTGCCATTTTCCATTCCCCACTACTTCCATATTTCCTGTGTTGTCCTGTATTTCATAGATTGTGTTCTTCTTATTCACTGTTTTCTGCAAAACACGATTAACGCCCAGTTTCTGCAAACATAATAACTTCCATATTTTTGAGAAGGACCTCTTTGAGGAAGTAAGTACATGATAAAATAAATCAATTATAGGCACAGGTAAACATGTGGTTTTGGCAAGATCTTCTCAGAAGATCTGCTTTTTTAAAGTTTTTTTGCCATAGGACATGCACACTCAACAGGGAGAGACAGGGTGAGAGAGAGAGAGAAGGAAAGTGAGAAATCACCCCCTGGGTTGATGGCCATGCCACAATCCTTTCTTCTCCTTCCCCTCTGGGGATTTTGGGCATGCATGTACACACACCTGTTGTGATTTTAAAGGCACTACATCCAGGACTCAAACTATGGTCAGCTATGTGGCAGTCCAGTGCCTTAAACACCACACCACCTTCTGGCCCCCTAAGCCTTCCTTGCTTTTATCATATTGCCTTTTTTATTAATTTTAAAATTTTTGCCTTTTCTGTTGTTAATGTTTTCTATCTAACATTCTAGAACATGATTTTATTTTTTCAAGTTTTCTACTGCTTACTCTTCAAGGGCAGCTTTGACTTGACAATAAAAACCGACCAGTATTCTTCGTTCTAATTTTTCCTAGAACCTTGGGAGAATCACACCAATAAACAGCTAATTCTACTACACAGGACTCTCTGGTCAGCAGTTGTGATTTACTCCTCACATTCTGTCCTTGACACAATTTCAGACGATGACTTGAAAAAACCTCCTTATCTCTGAGAAAGCATTCAGCCAGACTTTCTTTCCTCTGACTGCCAGCTTGCTTGAGACAAAGACTTGAGAATTTAACCAATTACTAACCTAAGAATTTCTAAACCCACCTATCATTTGGAAGCACCAGCTTCTAGATGCCCTAACTTTTCAGTCAGAACAATGTACAAACTCAGTAAGTTCATTTTTGGTTTCCTGTGTATCTCCTGTTCTCAGAATTAAGTAAAAGAGCTTCTGTACCCAAGTGTGCTGGAGCATTTTCTCAAGGATGCTTGAGCGTGTGTTACCTAGACTGTGGTCATATGAGAGAGTTTTGTTATGGGGTACATGTGCTCGTCAGAGAGACAGAGAAAAACAGATAGACAGAAAGCAAGAAGTCACACCTTAGGGGGGATGGTCATTCTACAGTGCCTTCTCCTCCACTCTCCTCTTGGGATTTTGGGCATGCACACACATTTATCTGGTGTGAGTTTTAAACCACTGTGTCTGGGACTCAAACTGCAAACTGTGTTGACTATGTGAGAGTCCAGCAACGTAACCATTATGCCATCTGCTGGTCCCCCCCCACCTTTTTAAAGAGATTTTTGCTATAGGGTGTGTGTGTGCTCACCAGGAAGATAGAGAGAGACAGAAAGTGAGAAGTAACCCTCAGGGGGCATGGTCACACCACAATCCCTTCTCTTCCATTCTCCTCTCAGGATTTTGGGCACACATGCACACATACCCAATGTGTTTTAAGCCACTGTGTCTGGGACTCAAACCATAGTCAGCTACATGGGGGAGTCCAGTGACATAACCTTTACACCATTTGCTGGTCCCTGTCAATAAACCTTCTAAAAATTTTATAGGGTTTGAAGGACCAAAAGATAGCATAATGGTTATGTTGCTGGACTCCCACATATTTGACCATGGTTCATGCCCAGGGCCTGGTGGCTTAAAACTCACCCTGGGCACATGTGTGTGCGTGCCCAAAATCCTGAGCGGAGAATGGAGGAGAAGAGATTGTGGCATGGCTATCCACCCTGGGGGGTTGACTTCTTGCTTTCTTGTCTCTCTGTCTCTCTGGCAAGTGTACACACCCCATAGCAAAAATCTCTCTAAAAAAATAATAAATTTTAGCAGAGTTTGATTATTTCAGTTGGCAAACTCCTCCTAAGTCACCTTGAGTCAGGGAAATTAGAAATTTTTAGTAGATGGCTTTGGCTCATATTACAGAGAAAATAATGGAGATTTGAATGATACATCACTATTACTTATGTAATAGGTTATAGAAAACTTATGTAACAAGTAAAGTTCTAATAACTTACTAATTCTTTTTTAACCTTCTTTATTCACTCTTTTCCAGTATTTTACCTCAATTTTCCTGAGTTCCTTAGTTCAGCTATCATTCTTCTATTCTGATGGTATTTAAAGAACGGTCTCTTAAGTAGAATGTAGCCATGTAATGGAAGTAAAGTTAAGGGGCTGTCCTAAAAGATTTAAGGTCATGAAGCAGTCCTTATATAAGCTGTTAGTTAGATTAAAAATACTTTGTTATTTATTTTTTATTTAATGCATTATATTAACTTGTACTATGAATATAGGCATTGATAAATCAGTAGAAATTCTGCATCTTATTTTTTTCTTCTAAGTTTTTGCTATGGAGTGGTTGCACTCACTGAAAAGAGACAGAAAGAGACAAAGAAAGGGAAAGAAAATGACAGATGTAAATCTTGCTTTGGGGAATTACGTTTTACAACTGATTTTATCACTTCTGACATACCTGTAATTGCTGTACATTTTTGTGGGGTGTGATATGGTGTTTCAGAGCATGTATGTAGTGTGTGATAATCAAATCAAGAATGGTGCTGACTGTATTAATCATTTTCAATAATATTACATTACATTCTTCACCTTAGATATTCATTCTACTAGCTTTTTAAAAACATATATGTTTGGAAATGTGTCCTTTTTACTGTTGTATACAGTTCTATGACCTATTTGCTTACTTACATGCATTCTTGTGGCAGTTAATTATTTTTTCTGAGACCCTTTTTCCAATCTCCCAACGCTTGTTTAGTCTCTGGTATATGCAGTTGCCCTCATTATTTCTATGTTCTCAAGTTCTATAGTTTCTGCCATACAGTGCATTTATGTTAATTTTTTTATTTCAATTTCTTTTATACATTCATTCACATATGTCACTTCCCTCGCAAAGTAAATATTCCAACATGTATACATTTCTCACCAGTCCACTTGACAATACTATACACGTTATCTTCAGCAGATAATAACCCGTTTCTTTGTCCCATGAATGCCTTGCCTATTTTTCTCCTTAATGTCCTTCCTCAGACTCTCCTTCTTCACCCACCCTCTTCCCACACTATATCTAGTATTTATAACCATTTTCTGTTTCTATAATTTTTATTTTAATAATTTTTCAGAGTGTGCATGTACTTGTCAGACTAGAGGGGGAGTGAGAAAGTACCCCCCATGGGGGATGGTCATGCTGTATACATAGTCCTCCATTTCTTCCTCCTTTAAGGATTTTTGGTCACACATGCACCTGTACCTGGCATATTTTTCAAGTCGCTAGATCTAGGACTCAGACTATACACTCAACCATGTGGGATTCAGCCACATTAACCACCATGCTGCCAGCTGACTCATTAGATTTACCCACTTTGTGTTGAATGACAGGATCTCTCTCTCTCTCTCTCTCTCTCTCTCTGATGATTGATTATACATTCTGTATATGTGCCACATTTTCTTAATCTAGTCATAAGTTGTTTTAGGCAGTTAAGTTGATTCCATGTCTTAGCTATTGTGAATAATGCTACAATAAATATGAATGTGCAAATTTCTCTCTGACTAGAGTGGTTTCCTGTCCTTTGGGTAAATACTCAAAAGGAGAATTACTGTGTCATATAATAGTTCTATTTATATATATATTTTTTTTTGGAGAGGTTTTTGCTATAGGGCACGTGTGCTTGCCAGCCAGACAGAGAGAGACAGAGAGACAGAAAGTGAGAAATCACCCCCCAAGGGGGATGGCCATGCCACAATCCCTTCTCCTCCATTCTTCTCTCAGGATCTTGGGCATGCATGCACATGCGCCTGGCGTGAGTTTAAGCAACCAGGTCTGGGACTTGACAAGGTCGACTACATGGGAATTCAGTGACATAGCCATTACGCTAACTGCTGGTCCCTATTTTTATATATTTTAAGGAACCTTCATATTGTTTCCCACAGGGGCTGCACTAATTTACATTACCATCATCAGTGCATGAGGGTTCCCTCTTCTCCACAAGTTCACCAGCATTTCCTTTCTATCACAGGGATTCTGATTGGGGTTAGGTGACCATCTTTGTGGTTTTGATTTATATTTCCCTATAATAAGATATATTAAAATTTTCATATGATTTTTAGCCATTCATATGTTTTTTGAGATTCTCTGTTCAGATCAATTGCCCATGTTTTTAAAAGAGAGAGGAGTTTTTGCTATAGGGTGCATGTGCTCTCTGGAGAGACAGAGAGATATGGAGAGACAGAAAGCATGAAATCACCCTCCCCATTTTTAAATTCAATTATTTGTTTGTATGTGTGTGAGCTGTTTAAATTTTCTATATATTCTGGCTATCAATTCCTTATGTGATGTACAGTTTGCAAATATTTTCTCCTATTCTGTAGGTTTTCTATTTATTGTTTCCTTTGTTATGAGAAGCTTCTGGCTTGATGCAATCCCACTTGTCTATTTTAGCTGTTGTCTAGTTTTTGTGGTCTTATTTAAGAATGTTTTAAAATCTTATTTATATATTTGTATGATCCATTGTTTTGCTTTCCTCTTCATGAGACTTCAATTAAGTATGTTGCTTATCTGCTATTATTGGTTATTTTCTCTAAAATAATTTTTATATATTTTGTTCTGTTTCATCTTTTCTTTCATTTCTAAATTGCATTCCCCTAAGTGTACTTTTGGCCATGTTTAGTCTTCCTTGGGCTTTTTATAATTTAATCTCTATGATTTGGAGGTAGAAGGGAGGGGATCAGGGAAAGAAACAAGTAAAATATTTAATAGTCACAAAAATAAAAAGTTGTCTGTTGATATAATGTATATGGTAATGTCTTTGACTTAAACAATATACACAGTATTCATGTTGTGTAAAACCATGTCACACACTGTAAAGATATATGGTGATTAAATGTAAATAAAAATAAATTTAAAAAGGAGTAAACGTATACAGCAGAAGTAGAAGAACTCAGGGAAGAAATGAACAGATAATAGGAAATGATAGCCTGATAATAGGAAGAGTTAGTAATCAGCATCAAAGAAACCACAGAATTTCAAAAAACATTTCAAAGCATCATTTTTTATATGAGTAAACTAGGAGGTTAGATTACTTTGTCCTCCAAATATCATGCCATATAATAATTTTTAGTTGTTCAATAAATTCTTCATTGATTTCATGAACAAAGCAAAAGAAACAACAATTAATGGTTAGATCATTTGTCTATTAAATATATTTGCATTCAGAATACCAGCCAACCTATTTATTACTCTGCATACATGTAACGAACAGAATTCAACCTTTTTAGAACAATCCATTCTTGGAAATGATGCTCTTCTACAGTTGCACTGAAACTCAAAGAAGTAAGATGATTGGCATAAGCATATTTATCTACACCTCACAGTGCCCTTGCTCATTGTGGCTGAAAACAAATCATCATAACTTTGAAATAAGATTCCTTAGTGATTCTTTTTCAAAGAACTTTCATGGAGGTATCTTGGGAAATAAAATATAAATAGAATATTAATAAGTCATCTAGTTCTCCTTCCTATTATGTTGAGAGACTTCACCACTTGCCTCTAGTCAAGATGGAGTTCTGGGTTCCAATATTCAGCCAGTAAGCAAAGCTCAGCAAGTTTTTTAAAATTTTTATTTTTTTAAAGTATTACATTTAATCACATATATCTTTACAGTGTTTTTGTTTGTTTGTTTTTTGTTTTTCCCATAGTGTGTGCACACTCACCAGAAAGAGGCAGGCATAGATAGATAAAGAGAGAGAGGAGAGAGAGAAAGAGTCTCTCTGGGTATCACTCTGGGTGCTTGTGTGTGCATACACAAAATCTCTTCTCCATTCTCCTCTCGGGAGAGTGTATGCATGCATACATAGGCACCTAGAGTAATTTTCAGCTGTTAAGTTCAGGACTCTAACCACAGTGCTGTCAATGTGGCATCCAACGCCTTAACCTTCATGGCATTTGCTAGCTCCAGCAAGCTAAGATATTTAATTCTAGGTGTTGGTGGAGAAAATAAAATAATAATTCCAAGGGATTACCTTTTGTAACTCAAACATCCCGTACACGATTGTTCCAGATACTTGTTTGTAAAGATGATCAATCTTGAGAGTTTCATTTGCCTTTTTTATAATACTGTTTGGGACCTTAATCATTTGATCTGGACCAACGTCAGACACATACGATGCTTCATTTATTTCCAGGACTCCTTTGCATTCCAAGTAATTGAATATGGTAATGACCTTCTTCTTTGAGAATTTCTCTTTCCAATTGGTGTTGAAAACCTTCACGTAGAAAAACTGACACTCAGTAGCCACTGTAGCATGAAACATTGCTTTTATCCCCGCTTCTGGGGACTCATATTCAAATGGATTTGTTGCTTTTAGAACTAAGACTATCAATGGGCCCTTTTTGAGAACATAATTTCTGGCAGCCCCTTGACGCTGGACTTGAGATGTCTGTTTCTGTGTTGGACAGACAAAGGAAATAAAATTATAATTTTAAGCAGAATAATAGCAACTTTACCGTGAGAGAAAACTCAATTACAATATTGAGACAAGAACCTTCATGGATGCTTGGAGCTGGGGTTGGGCTAGAGAGGGATTGCTGTACAGAAAGGAAAGACTAATGAAGCAGTGTAATTTAGCTGGAGGAAATAATAGCTAAAAATTAGGACACTCTTACTGAAACTGAATAATCCTTCTGAAGCAAAGCATGATCTTCTGTATGAATAATAGTGATGGATAATCAGTGTCTTTATGAAGTACTTAAATGAGAGATTGCTATAAAATAAACTTAAATATATCCCTTACCTGCTTAAATGATTAAAGAAAATGAAAGAGTGGAAAGATAATTTGAAGAGCATTGAAAATGAAGACTATTAACTACCACAAACCATAAACATCAAAGTTTTTAAGTTATTATTAAATTATTAAGGGCCAATTCATGGGTCTACTTCATAATGCTTCTTCCCAAGAAATACTGGTCTCATGTAAGTGTTAAGAATAACAGATTGGCTCACAATTTCATAGCTTCAAAAGGCTCAGGTAGAGGTACTCTGGCTAGAACCATTTGCTAGAACATAGACATTTTTTTTTTTCTTCTCAAAAACAGGTCTTTGGAAGCCTAGAGACAAGTTGGTGTACTTTCGATCTCTTTTTTTCCATGGTGGTCCAAGCTTACTGAGCTGCAGCTGAGTCACTGGGGAGACAGGTGCCTAAGCTAAAAGAGAAAGTATTCCAAGGCAAGTGTGGGCTGTGAGCATCACAGGTACAGGTAGGTTGAGATACGGTTGCTGTGTCCATACACCAGATGTGCTTCAAATGGTCTGACCTGGCACATATCACACGCCATCATCTGTGGGCAATTGGACTGTACTAGGAGCTGACTTTTTCTCTATGTAGCCAAAACCATAACATAGGTAATTGCTTTCCAAAAGCAATACAGTCAGTAGTACCAATTCACATATAAGAAAAACCATTAGCAATAACAAAATTCAAGAAAGTTACAGGATACACATAAAAGAAATATGCAATTACAGAAGCCTCAGTGGACACAGTGCTAGTATGCTCATGGGCAAGGCATTGAGGTTGGGATATTGGAATGTCAACCAGGAAATTATTTACTTATTTATTTATGTATTTATTTTTAGAGTTTTTTTTTTTCCTATAGGGTGCATGTGCTCGCCAGAAAGACAGAGAGAGACAGAGAGACAGAAAGCGAGAAATCACCTCCCCAGGGGGATGGCCGCACCGCAATCCCTTCTCCTCCATTTTCCTCTAGGGATCTTTGGCATGCACACACATGCACCTGGCGTGAGTTTAAGCTGGGTCTGGAACTTGAACCATAGTCAGCTACATGGGAGTTCAGCGACATAGCCATTACGCTAACTGCTGGTCCCAGGAAATTATTTTTTAAATAAATTATTATATATATGCAGTTCAGCATTACATACCTGTTAAATAATGATTTAAATTTTTATTTATGGAATTAGAAATATGATTTTGATATTTTAAGTGGATAAACAAGTAATAAAATAGTTATTATTGTAGGATACCCTGTTGGGAACATTTATTTTATAGTTATGAAGACAAATACCTGGAAGAATTCAGAGAAAACATGATAATCTATGGTTGGTAGTGCTTCAGGTTACAAATAATTAATTTGGTTGTTTATAAGCATGTTCTCACATTTTAAAATAAACATGTTTTACTTGTGTATAGTAAGATGAAAGAGAAAGTATGTGGACAGTATTGTGATTTTTCCCCTGTGCCTTACAATCTTTCCCCTTAAGTGTGTAACACATGATGGTAAAAAGACAAAAGCCTACCTTTCTGGATTAAGAAACATTGATGTATTCAAGTGTTATTAAATTAACACAAAAGATATAGTAAAACACAAATGAAGTCCAGATTGAAAATAATGCAACCAAATAAGAATGAAGATGCAACAGTAAACTGCAGTTCACTCTTTTTTTTTTTCTAGGTCTTAGCATATGGTCTCCTTTCTGGTAAATTTCCCCAAATTCCTTACCTCCCCATCCTATTCCATCACATCATCTGTATCTTTTCATTCTCACAATAGAATTTGCCTCCTTAGTTAGATTAATAACCCTTAATTATTCTTCAATAGCTGTGCTGATTCATATTTCAGTACTTACAGGTGTTCTTAGAAGATTCTGGATTACAGGAGTTCCCAGGACCAACAGGTTATCTGTAATCTTACAATATGGAGTAACATGAGAAGGAAAAGTTTTATTAATTGATGTTGTCATCGTTGGTAGGGAACAAATGAGATCATATCAAACTGAATGCCCAGTGTTCTTACTTAGTCTCTATAAGGTTTCAAGGATGATTTCTTAAGGAAAAGATAGCAATACTAGGATCCAGATTAACCTTCTAGATGGTGATAATAAAGTTCAAAAAATTCCAGGAGAAAAGGAGGACACAGTATAAGTTAAAATGACTTTGATATATTTGTGACCAAAGGGAAAAGGTGAGAGAAGACCCCGCGCCTGTGTCCACTTGCACTGCTCTAGACCTTGCACCTCTCACTCCCTCCCCTAGAACCACACAGGGCAGAAAACGTCCTGAATCAGAGATAATGTCAAGTTCCAGTAATCCTGTGGAAGCCAAAGATTTATAAGCAGTGTAAGTATCGATATATTTAATATTTGAGTGACTAATATTGGAATTATTATTTTAAATATTCCCTTATTTTACTATTTTTAAAAAGTTTGCTGGAGGGCACATGTGCTCATCAATGACACAGAGACAGAGGGAAAGTGAGAAAGCAAGTAATCAGATCTGGGGCTGGAACCACAGTCAGAGTCCAGTGCCTTGACCACCACATCACCTGCTGGCCCCAATATTGGAATTATTTTTCATCAAAAGGGATGAGATTAGATTTTCTGAGGTCTAATGATTGTATTTTGGTTGAATAAAATGAAGGAAAAGGGAACAGAAAGATTGTACCTTAGTTGAGGAAGTTGTGGATGGAACAGATGTTGGGGTTTGGGAAGGTGGGTACTGGCCCATGGTCATGAACTTGCTGGCTGCCACAGGACTGGGAGACTGAGTCTGATCCTCAGACACCTTAGTCTTTTTGGTTCCTGTCTTTTCTTCGGTTGTGTTTTTTCTTTTCTGAAAAAAGTTTAATTTTCCTATTAGTGACTTTTAGTATCAAATGGAGTAGATCAATGGGACAGACTTGAAATGGGAAAAACTAGATTTTCATAAACATAGGCAAAATACTATCTCAATATTCAGTCAGCACATTCTGCTGGTAGAGAGGAAATACTGTATTTAGATTTGCATTATGTTTTTTAAAGTGCTTAACTTATTACCTTGCACAAAGAAAATGATCACTTGTTGTGCAACTTGGTAAATCTGAAACTTGATAGGAAATGAAATATTCACCTGTTGGGGAGATTTAGTGGAAGAGCCAAGGTAGAATTTCTTCTGTGAGCCCTAAACCTACTCCTGCTCCCCGAACTCACCTGAGACACAGGAGTTTGCTCTGCTCCTTGAGATTGGAGAGTCTTGCTTGTGGTGGGTGCAGGTGTAAGAGAGTCTTCCCCTTTCTGCTTATTTTTTTTCAGTGGAGTTTTTCCTTTTGCTGAGATGGATTTCATTCTTTTCAAAACTGTTACAGAGAAAATGAGGACATATTAGCCTACAGCACTGGTCTAGGAGAGTTTAAGCAGTTTCGATGCTATTTTTTCTCAGCTCCTGCTTGATGTTGAGGTATGCTGTTTCTGCTTCTACTGCATCAGCTTGGCTAGGCTGCAAGGTGACCAAGAGTCACAACACAGGAACAGGTGCTTCCTCATAGTCCTCAATGCTTATCATTCCCTGTGCGCCAAACACATCCTTTCTGTCTTCTGAACTCCATGTACCCAAGTCAAGCCTGTTCTTAAACCTTTTAAAATTTCTTTTTAAAGATCTGTAGCTTTCATGGTGCTGACTGCCTGGTCATGTTCTCTTCATAATCTGCTCAAATGACAAAAGCCAGTGAAAGAAAATGGGTTATTGATTTGTGAAGTGAGAATATGGCGACTTTGGACTTTGAAAATAGTTTTATTAACTCAGTGTTTTTCAAAGAGATGAAGATTTTCATATTTCAGAGAGAGAGATATTCATTAAAGTATTGCCTTATTTTTTGTTACTAAAAAGGATAATAATGATGGTGTAAACTATTTTAATAGAGCAGTTAAAAAATTGGTTAATGGATGTATTTAAAATGTAAATGGCTGGGGCTGGCAAGTGGTGTGGTGGTTAAGGTGCTGGACTCCTTCGTGGCCAAATGTAGTTCAAGTCCCAGACCTGGAGACTTGCTTTCCTACTTTCCCTTTCTCCCTCTCTCTCTCTGGTCAAATTAAACAAACAATAATGATGATAATAAATGAAATAAAATAATTCTAAAAAATGGCAATTTTTATATTTTTGATTTGTCATTTTTTTGACCTTTCTAGTATACCTCAGTTTCTTATCAACTCGACACTTTCTAACTTTTGTTTTTCATATACACCGCAAATATACCCTCCAAAATATATATCAAAAGCAAAGCCCTAAATTGTCACCTTGTTGACATATGTAGCAGGCACTGTAATGGCTACTGGGTCACAAGCTGAGAAAAGCTATCACGTGTGACCAAGTCAGAGTTCTATTAAAGGTTTCAGAGAACATGAACCGGTGGTATTACCTTTTGACTTCTCTTTTCGAAGGTTTTCAACAGCTTCTTGAAGTTGTGGTATATCTTTGAACAATTCTATAAGTTTTTTCACACCAGAGTCACTGTGGAACTTCCTTTCCATCAAGTCAGCAATCTGAATTTTGTCATATTCTTCTTGCATATTTCTAGTCAGTTGTAAATCATGGGCCAGTAAGGACTTAATCATGTTAAAATGATACACAGTAAGAGGCTCTAATCCTGTCAGCAGAACAATTCTCTTGAATTCATTCACCATTTCTCAAGCCTAGAAGGAAAAATATCATACAGTGTCACCCAGATAATTTAAAAGACTGGATATGCCCCTGTGAGCAAGTGGTCTATATGAAAGTAGTGTGCTTAGGTGTGTGTGACAAAGAGGAATCGTAATCACTAGTTGGTTAAGAATTGCTGCACTAGAAAGATCTAAAAAATTCTTCCCTATTAATGATAACCAAGTTGGGTAAGGTTGTATATGGTGGAAGGATGTCTGCAAACAGGCAACGTTCAGTGTTTAGAATGTGGGCTGTGTAGGTTCAAAGTCCTTGGCTCTTCTTCCCAACCTTTAGGGGGCTAAACCTATTATGGGATGACTGCATGTGGGTTCTGACTTATTGTGGGTTCCTGACTCTCTTGATGTGGCTAATGTGTGCCTTTTTTGCCATTGAGATAACCAATAGCCATCACCTTTGTAGACCACTGGAAAGGAAGAAAATCCTATGCCTCTATCTACCCCATCTCACCTCCTGTCCCAAGAAGAAGCCACTCTTATGTTGCCTTAAAACTGGGACCACTAACACCCACAACACCCACATGTGCCAGGGATGTGATCTGTGGCTGTGCAGCACATATCTGTCCACACTAAATCTGGACTCCATGGCTGTACTGAGCATGCCTGTGCATCAGACACTAGAGCCACCAGTACTGCAGGCTAGCCCAGGCCCCAGATGAAAAAGTTTCTATTGCCTTATGCATGGACACACTTTGGACTCTGTAGCCACTCTGCAAGTGTCTACAACATGAACACCAGAGATCACTACAGCAGGTGTACATAGACTCCCATCCCAGGAGTAATGGACACTCTCCATATGCCCAAGCTGTGGGAATCAGACCCTAGTGCCATTATCAGCACAAGAGTGCCTATAAACTGGACCAACACCAAGAAGGAACACTTTGACCACAACTTCTCCCATGCTAAAAAAGAAGATCAGGAGGTCTCCAGCAGCCTTTACCAGTAAAGAACCCCAACAGCACTCACTACTGCTGCAGATGATCACAGACTCAGCTTCTGAGAGCCCTTATATCTTGGTTAATACTGATACAAGTTGGCAGAACTGCATGGAGACTACATTGCTGCACCTTCACTGGGGCCAGAACCACTGTATATTACCTGGCTGGTATCCTCACACCCACTCACATAATCAAATTGTCAAACATCAGAGAAAAAGAGAGAATTTCCAGTATCTACACTTACCTCCCTACTCTCATATCTTCAGGTAAGAGACAGTACAAGGGAGGGGAGTAAGATGGTAGAGGATGGGTATCAGTGACAAAAGGAAAAAAAAAATAACAGAAAAATAATGTAAAATGTCAAAAAATATGTATCTGGTAATACCCTTAACTCTAGTGTCATAGGTTACATGCTTATGTTAAAAAACTATATTGTGCATTATAGAGAGTATGATGATGGAATTTAAATTAAAAAATAAAAACAAAGAAAAGAAGAAAGAAAAAGAAACACTTTCCAAAGCAGCAAGAAAAAATATGTTCCTTTCTAAACAAGAGAAACTCCGTAAGACTTTAAGTGGATTTCTCAGCAGAAACCTCACAGTTTAGGAGATAGTGAAATGATATGTTCTGAAAGAAATAAAGACAAAAACCTGCCAACAAAGAATACCTGACAATGAAATGAGAATAAGAGAAAGAAAAGGATTTTCAGGCATGCTAAAATTGAAGTTCATCACTGCTAGAACTGCCTTACCTGATATGCCAAAGGGATGAAATAAGAAGGATTAATACATAGCATAAAGCCATATGAAAGTATAACATGCTGGTAAGATAAATGTAGAATCAAATTCAGAATACTCCAATACTATAATAATAATAATATTTAAATAACTTACAACTCTAGCATAAAGATAAAAAGACAAAAATGTTAAAAATAACAATAACTACAGTAATATGTGGTTCTATAATTTAAAAATGTAAATTGTGACATCTAAAACACAAAATGTTGGGAGGAATAAAAGAACAGATGTGTGTGTGCGTGTGTGTGTGTGTGTGTGTGTGTGTGTGTGTGTGTGTGTGTGTGTGTGTGTGTGTGTGTGTGTGTGTGTGAATGTGAATAAAGTTAAGTTGTTATTGACTTAAAGTAGACTGCTGTAGCTAGGTTTTATTTAAGTCTTTGGTAACCATAAGATAAAAACCTATAGCCACACACACAAAAAATAAAGAGCAAAGAATCAGAGTATACCACCAGAGAATATCACCTAATCAAAAAAGGAAGAAAGCAGGCATGAAAGAATCACAAAGTTTATATAATATCCAGGAAATAATTAACAAAATGGGAATAGGTATTACTAAACTATTGATAATTGCTTTGAACACAAATGGATTAATTCTCTAATCAAAATACATACAGTGGGTGAATGAATAATTTAAAATTCCAAATATGCTGTCTACAGGGGATTCACTTTGGCTTTAAGGACATACATAAAAACGTAGACTGAAAGTGAAGAGATGGGAGAAGATAATCTTTGCAAACGAAAATATGAAAACATAGGGAGCTATATTTGAATAAGATCTTAAGACAAAAATTGTAAAAAAAGTAAAAAAGGTTATTATATGATGAAAAAGATCAATATATCAAACAGATATAACAACTGTAAATATATATGCACCCAACATTGGCGCACTTAAACACATAAAGTGAATATGGGCATCTTCAAAAAGTTCATGCAAAATGTGTATATAAAAAACTATGAGGACCAGCAGTTAACGTAATGGCTATGTCACTGAACTCCCATGTAGTAGACCACGGTTTGAGTCCTGGACCCAGTGGCTTAAACTCATGCCAGGCACGTGTGCGTGCGTGCCCAATATCCTGAGAGGAGAATGGAGGAGAAGGGATTGTGGCGTGGCTATCCCCCCGGGGGGGGAGTGATTTCTTGCTTTCTGTCTCTCTGTCTCTCTCTGTCTTGCTGGTGAGTGCATGCACCCTATCGCAGAAACCTCTCCAGAAAAAAGAAAACATAAAAAATTATGTACATATTTCTATTTTTTTATACCAAAATAAACTCATTTTAGGGGCCAGTAGGTCACATGGTGGTTAAAGCACTAGACTCCCACATTGCCAACCACAGTTCAAGTACTGGATCCAATGGCTTGAGAATCATGCAGGGCCCATGTGCATGTGTGTTCAAAATCCCAAGAACAGATTGAAGGGATTAAGGCATGACCATCCCCTCTGGGTGGTGATTTTTCACTTTCTCTCTCTTTGTCTCTATTTGTCTCCAGTGAGTGTACATGCCCCATGGCAACAATCTAAAATAATAATAAACTAATTTTAACTCCATTTTCCACAAAATTTTTGAAGTCCTCTCATATTAATAGATCTGAAGGGAGAGACAGCACTGTAGTAATAGTAATAGAATGCAATACCCAACTTTCAGGAATAAATACATCATACAGACAAAAACATAGACAAGAAAACATGGAATTTGAACCATACTTTAAATCTATATAACCAACATACATAAAACATCCCATTCAACAGCAGCAGAATACATATTATTCTCAAATACACATTAAACATTTTCTAAGGCTATTATTAGACACAAAACAAGCCTTAATAAATTTAAGATTAAAATCATATCTAGACTCATTTCTTATTCTTTTAAAAAATTATCAATTTTATTTTGTTATTATTATTTATTTTTTAATTTGAACAGAGAGAGGAAAAGGAAAAGTAAGAAAGTGAGCCACTAGGCCCAAAACTTGAATCATGGTCGGCCATGTGGGAATCAAGTGCCTTAACCACCACACCACCTGCTTGACCCTCCAGAATCATTCTAAGAACAATGGTATGACACTAGAAATCAAATACAGGATGAAAACTGAAAAATTTTAAATATGTGAAAATTAAACATTTTGTACAACCAATGAATTAAAGAAGAAATCCAAGGGAAAACCTAAAAGTATCTTAAAACAAATAAAAACGGATATAACAAACCAAAACTTATGTGAAGCAGCAAAAGCTGTTCTAGAAAGGGAATTTATTGATTAAGTTTATGTAATAGCCTACCTAAAAAAACACACAAAATATGTCAAATAAATAACCTAATTTTACATCTCAAAGAACTAGAGACTGAAAGACGGGAGGACATAAAAGCATTAAAAATTGTTATGGACACTGTGGAGAAAGTGGAAGGAGAGTGGGAGAGGGGCACAGTGTGGGAAGGGAAATTTGGGAAAATATGGAGAAGTAAGACATTGTGTTACCCAGATATGGTTTGTTGCCTATTGGTGATGTTGTGTATAGTAGTCTCAACTTGTTTGTTGTGTGGTGTATATCATGTTGGGTAAAATCTCCTTACAAACTAAATGATGTATAATCACTGAATGTATAAATAATAATAAATAACACAAAAAAAAAGGAAAGGAAAATAAAAATATGCACTAGAGAAAGAACAACAAGCTAAGACCAAAGTTAAAAGGAATGAAATAGAAAGGTCAGAATAGAAATAAGTAGAGACTAGAAAATAGAAAATATCAATGAAGTTGAGTTACATTTTTTGAAAAGATAAACAAAAGTGGAAAAATCTGTAGCAAAACTAAGACAAAAAAGAAGAGACTCAAACAAAATCAGAAATGGAAAAAGAGAAAGTACAATCGATACCAGAGAAAGACAAGGATTATGCGATTGATATGAGAAATTATTCACCAAAAAATTGTATAAAGTAGGAAAAAACAGATAAAATTCTAAAAACATACAACCTACCAATACTAATCATGACAAAACAGAAATCTAAACAGAGCATTATTAATGAAAGAGATTGAATTAGTAATTAAAAAACAATCTCCTATTGAAGAAAAATCACATTCTTGATGACTTCAATGGTGAATTCTACCAAACATTTAAAGGATAATTAATGCTAATCTTTATAATTCTTCCAAAAATATCTGAGAAAAAGATACACTTTTAGATATATTTTACAAGGCTAAGCACTTCTCTGCTATCAAAACAAGCCAAGGACACCATAG